TTTGGTACAAACTTGAAAATTTAACAAACTAATAAATTACGCTTGATTTCTGTCTTAATTACTTCCTATTTATACTAAGTAAACATACAAACATTGTACCTAAGTTTGTTATGCGCTAAAGACCTAGATCGCAGGTCATGACTGCTTTATATGGTTATGCCTAGGGTGCGGTGGATAGTCGGTACCGCTACACAGTTATCCTGCACGGGAAGGGTCAGCACCTCCCCCCCCTCTCCCGCGGGAGGGTCAGCACTCCCCTCCCCCGGCGACCGCTTGCTGGCATACATTCTTTATTAAAACACGCCCGCTCATTGTTCATTGAACGGTCCATTAAGTGCGGTAGTTGTATCTACTATTATTATCTCTGTACACTTTATGTTCTCCTGGTATGAACGCAAAATTATTTGAGCTCAAGTTTGTCTTTAGCCGATTAGCAAGCAACAGTAGAACAACGCACGTGAATTTATTCTATTTTAAGACGTATGAATTAGAGAAAATTAATAAAATAAAACATAGTTCAATAAAAGGTTAATTATTGAATTTATTCTTAAATAAGTGGTTACCATGAATTTAGAATCCAATTTTCTTTCAAACATTTATTTCGTTTTAATTTTAACAAACAAGCATTGTGTTTATGATACGGCATATCAATTACTTATACAGTCCTGGTAGTTTCGTTTCTACAAAAAACAAAGCTATAAAACGCTCATTTCAATCGCATTGTATTTCCACAATATAAAAAACATACAATGCCTTGAGGTCACGTACGTAAACTAGTTTTTAAAAAATAAAAAAGAAGATCCGCAAAGCGAGTTAAAAAAACACGAAGCGTTGAGGTTACGGACCTCCGCAAAGGGCTACGACTTTGTACGCAGCGAGCTAAATTTAGGATAGTGATGTGACATTGTTTTAAGTTATCGGTTTTAATTCTACAAATTTCACAGAGAAAACCCCACAAAAAATATTACAGTTAAAATCTAAATAAATGTAGCAATCATTATTGCATCGTGTAAATGATAAATGTCAAAACAAAAGTCTTATTTAAAAACAATTAAGGTTGATAATGTCAAGGCATTTTTTTCTATTTGATACGTCGTAAATGTATGCGATGTAAAAAAACAAAAAAAGTCGATGGAAATATCCATAGAGGTTATCGACATCTAGTAAGTGGCTATTTAAAGAACAGGACGAACTGAAATTACTCCTTACGTTAAGCATTGATCGATAAAATGTTGACACGTAAATAGCTTATTCATACGTTGCTTTAAAAATAGCTCTACATGACTTTCATTACATTTAAGTGATAAAATATGTTTTGAGTGTTATTTACAAACATATTCCCCTATTATCGACATATTATTTATCTATCGACAGATTAACAAAAAGCATCTCTATAGACTAAAGTACCGAAGTAATTAAATTACACACTCAATGGAGTTCGTGAGATGACCTAGCACCTACTGTGTCTGACCTGAACTTCAGGGGGCACCATGATTGAATAGAATAACATCTTTACTTTAGCAGTAAGTTTGTACTTAACAGGTGAGTTTCTTAATTTTTCCTTGCATGTGAAGTCCTCGTCAACAACCAGTCAGTTTGAGATCGACCAAAGGGATGTTGCTGTCATTGCTTTGTATGTTTTTGTAACTGTCTTTAAGGAGTGAGAGCTTGTCTAACGAAGCCACTATCCGCCGGATCAAAATAAACTGTTTATAACATCTTGATGGACAAGTGCCGGTCCTGTCTAACCACTTTCGAATTTCTCTTGTATTTTGACAAGATTTATGGAAAGCTAGTAGATTCACTTATCCGTTACGTCACTTGGTCTTTTTTTTGTAAAAAATTATTCACTGCTTTTAGCTCTAATTGCTCCGTTAGACACTATGTGTGGGTGTTTTTTGTGTCAAATAAGTAATAAATAATTAATTATTGATGTCAATGATCCAGGAAGTTCAAGCTAATGTTTGTAAAAACAGTATATTATGAGTGTTGTTCTAGTAACGAGTGGCGGAAAGGTCAATTATAATTAAATTCTAGGCGAGCGTGGGGCGGACCGTGACAACAGATTAGTTATAAAATGTAAGTAAAAACACGTGCCCGTATTAAAAGCAACTCGGTTAAAGCCAAAGTAACTTCTTATTTTAATATACCTCTCCGAATCTGAAACGTAGTAAATAAAGAGTAAGTAATTGATACAAAAGTATACCGCCAATAATGTTTACTTCGAATCTTTGTAAACAATCTTTTGAGAAGTTAAACATTATCATCTGTGCACAAGAACGTGTTTGTAAAAACAAAAGGAAATCGGCTACGTGTCTGTTGTTTAAATTCATGTTTTATTGATTGGCAATATTCTAGAAAAACTTACATCAACCAGCTTGGTAACTCAAGAGGAAATATAAAGGAAAGGAAAGCTTCGCAAAAAGAGCAAGGACTTTGATATTTGTAAGCTCACACTACAGACAAAAAAACCTAAGACGCTAGTCTTCGGTTTTTTGGCATTTAAATATGCTCAAGACAAAATAATATAGGGGTAGTCAAAAATATCATTCGCTTCTGATACGAGTAAACGCATGATACATAAAACATTGAACAAAAATAAAATCTTTAGCAGGTACTCGAATCTTCGATCGTCAAGTCGTACGTAAAGTTATCATGGTTTCAATGAATGATTAATCTTGCATTTGACTCGTGTATAAAGGTGATGATATGAGACGTAATTTATCGATAAACACAACCCATGCTATCACAGAAATAGCTACAATATATAAACCGGACAAGTATCTACTTATAATTAAAAATACCATTAGCGATAATGATGCATTCGTAATAATAATTATATTAGTATTGTATCAAAATATTTATTATTTAATTGGCTCCAATTAACTAATATTTCAAGAAGTTAAATAAAATCGATTGAAATGTACGATTTGCAAAAGTCAGCCCTGTTTGACATTTCATTGTAATGGTTCCAACCCTATGCGCTGAACAAAATGGCTACGCAGTCGCCATTTTGTTTCATAGTACATTCTGACAATAATTACACTGTATAGCAACAAAAGCATGTTTTCTCAAATTTTCTATAGTAATACAAATAATTATGGACTATTTAAAATAATTTAAAATCGCATTTCCTGATAATTTATTATAAAAGATATTTTAACACTAACGCTTTACTTGCTTTATGTAGATTTTTATAATAATAATAAATTCCTTATATACAAATAAGGATAGTCTATAATGAAAGATTTTAATTTGATATTTATTAAAATACAACATTACGTGATATTGAAATGTTTTAATACACTCTTAACTAAAGTGGCACGTGTAAACTATTTCCACCTAGCTGTAACTTCCCAACACGACGGAGTGCCAATAAAATACCTTACGTAATATATAAGAAATGTTCAACCAGAAAAATATCGTTGTAGCCTACTCGATTATTATATGAAAAAATATTAATAATGAATAATAAACAATTATATTGAAAACTAAATTAAAATCTAATTATAGTAACATGTATGAAAATAATAATATACCGTTAAAGGGTTGTATAATAAAAACCTAGATTTATACACCGGTATCAATCGATAAAATCCAAGCCCATCCCTAGAACGGGTCTGAAGGGATTGCAGGCTGAATTCAGAGTATTGCCACACTATATTTTATCTATACATTTGAATTTAAACCAAAGCGCTTTGTAATAAGGACGATAGTCGCATAACGTTTAGAAAAAACAGATTAACAGCTGTACAATCCATAATACCTGCTCGAACCGGTACTTTTACTAAAAAAAGGTACAATTTCATCCACCTTCATATTAAGTTCAATTTTACCTGCCTTTCAATTCCTACAAACTTGTTACAGAACAGCTGATTCTATTCCATTTTCCACGTTTGCAAAGTTAGATAAAGATATTAAATTATTATCGGATGCAACTTATTATTATTAATTTAGTATATAAGTAGCTAACTTTGATTATATTTCATAAAAAGCTTGTAAATTATTGAAATATTGTAATACCCTGTCTAAATTAGGATGCATAAAGAACTAACGACGTCCCATATGTTTCAATGTCAACACAAAATGGTCGCTTTACAATCTCGATTGGTAAATCTGTCAAACTTTCTAAAAAGCAGCAACGATATGGAATAAGCAATCGTGCTAATTAATGCTGAAAATTCCATTAAACATTTCCTCTCTTCTATGTATAGAACATGTGTTAAATGCATCACTCAAAAATATAACAAAGATTACCTTTTTAGCAGCAAGCGTATTCGTCTAACTCCAATAGGGAACACCTGCGCTATAATATTACACTACGAAAATCGTGTCTTTTTCTCTTCAAATACATTATTGCACTATTCACAATATGTCCGAGGACGAGCAAACGCTGTCCTAATGTGATTTTTTAATAATTGATGCGGCCAAGTAAAGCGAGCGTCTATACGCCGCCCGCTTTAGTCATGAACTAAAAAATGTCAGCTGGCCCAAGAACGTTCTCATTCGTAAATCGATTGAAAATCTGTGAAACAGCCTCTAAACTATCCTTCATCTCTTTCGCGCAGGTACCGTCTCACTCGCACACGCAACTTTAATTCATTGTTTTATGGCCATTAGAAGCATTGTTTGATAGGAATAAATGAATATTTAAAGGATTTTGAGCATACTTTACAACACTAAAATAGTATTTATCAAAATATATTGCAGGATTTTTCAATTGAGACCATATGTTAAACAAAGCAATATGTCAACAATAACAGTGCTCTATTGACATTTCAAGACCTGCCCTGATTGGACTACGCACAGCTGTTTTTGACGCTTTGTTAATTTCACGTTTCCACACTAGATGGCTGCACATTCCCATCAACAACAGCTTACATTGGATAATAATTTGATTGGCTTGTATAAATTTCTTCACCACAATTGATATCATTAATTTGCAACTTACTCGTAATAACCTAAATATCCATTTTATCAGTTAGCTTTTAAGTATGTTTCGTATTTGACTACAAATTTCATGAACATGGAACCTTTTTTGATTGTTACCATAGTAACGTTCTAAAATGTAAACAAGTTTTAGATTGGAGTTTTGGAGTTGACATCTATAGTATTGAAAAGTAAAAAAGAGATTAATTATAATTTGCAAGTGACTCGTTATTGGTTGAAAATCTATTGAAAAACATAAAATACATCAGTGGACATTGGAAGTCAGTATCCAATAAAACAACAAAAATGGATTCGCAAGACCTTTTAGCGCGTGAGAATGAATTTAAAAAACTTAACAGGCAATTGGAAAAGAAAACAGAAAGTCTTATGAAGGAAATAGAACATGTTATGGTATGTCTTTTAATCAAAATAACTTCCATTTTAAAAATATATTGATCAAAATTATAAATCAGTTACTAATGATATTCATTTGTACATATTAGGAAAAACAAGACATATTTAAAGATGTGTCACACAACCTGAGGTTAACACCTTCACCGAAAACTATAAGAAAGCATTGCTGTGATTCTACAAGAACATTAACACCCCATAGTGCAGATAAACAAAAAAAACTTGGAAATAAAACATGTAATAAACAAAAAGAAAGACTTAACAATTATAATGAGAAGACAAATATACTTAATTCCTATCACCAAGAACAAACTAATTTTGACTCAAACCCACAAAATAATTTTAACACCGTACAAATGTGTCACAATTGTATGTTCAATGAAAATGGTAGATTAAATAATGATATGGAATTCTTACATGCGTTTGTTTCCATTAATGTTGATGATAAAATACTGCCACAGACATTTTTAAAAGGTAAGATTCATTATAATTTAACAAGACATTAAGAAGCTCCCGCTAAACAGTTAAGGAACTGAAACAAAAGGCAGTTATTTTAGAAACTAAAAATATTTGGGCCCCGGCTACTGGTTACTCATTGTCATAAGATTTAGCCATCGGTGGTGCAGCATTTTTGTTATATATTTTCTACACTATTTTCTAAACTACATATAAACTCATGTATCTTTTGTTTTGACAAATGTAATATAGTTAAATTTTATCACCAACAAGAGTGTGAACTCATCTTAAAATTAAACGTTGTGATTACTTTATGAATTTAAATTATGTTGTTAACAAAATTCTTAATTTCATTCAGACAAATGTAAATTTTACTATATATTTTAGTATTTTCATTTAATGTTATTTAATTTTTTGTTAAAAAGGTTTCTATTCTTTAATTTATTTGCACAATAGATGTTAGACGATTATACATATTAAATTTAATTTTGTTTAAAATACAAAACTAAATTCACTGTAAGTTACTAAGCTACTGTTACCTATAAATGTTCGGCGCTAGATGGCGCTGAAACTAATAATGAGAGTTTCGTTATTTAGGGTGTTTCATACCAGATTTTAGCCAGTTCCTACGACTACTACGTCTTAATCATTTAAACAAATAAGCAGCCAATTTGGTATTTTTATTTATGATTCAAGAGCGTGTTTCGGTGGAGCGCGTGTGCAAGTTCCTGGCGGCCAAAGTGAAGCTACTGCAGGAGCAGGTGGACAAGATGCAGGCTGCTCTCGATAAGAAGGTATATAATACTGTATGACTGTAGTTTGATTAGTAAAAAACACAAATTAACATTGTAAACCTCCCCCAAAAATGTACCCAACTTAATACCTGTTTCATTAACCCAACTGATTTTTTGACAATGTGGTGCGAGTAATACATAGTTATGATAATGAGGTACGTTCCAGAGTGCGCAGTGCGAGGGCCACCTGGCGCAGCTGGCGGGCCTGGAGGGCGAGCGGCTGACGCAGCTCAGCCAGGCCAACACCGCGCGCACAGCCGCTGCCGACGCTAAGGCTAAGTGCGCCGCGCTGCAGGCTAAGTTAGAAGTAAGGAAACTACGTCTACAGTTTCTGCACGTAATAATATCAAAATTGAAGAGGAAATGAAAGTCACCAAACAATCACTTTCTAAGAAGATAGAATGTATTGTAAACGTGTAGTCCTACCTTCAAATGTAGGAGAAGGAGCGGCAGTACGCGGAGGCGCGGGGGAGTGCGGAGCGCGCGGGGGCGGAGGCGCGGCGCGCGGGGGGCAGGGTGGGGGCGCTGCAGGCGCAGTGCCACGCCCACCAGCAGGCGCGCGACACCCTCGCACAGCAGCTGGAGACTGCCAGGATGGCCGAGAAGGTGAGCAGAGACTTGACTATCTAAGTTATTGTTTTACGCGTGCTGTGTACGTGATAGTAGAGATGTAAATATTGCAGGAGTTCCGCGAGGCGAGCCGCGCGCTGTCAGCGGAGCAGCAGCGGGCGCGGGGCGAGGCGGAGACGCGCTGGCGGGTGCTGGCGGGCGCCGCACACAGCCAGGCCGCGCTCATACACAACCTGCGCACTCAGAACGCGCTGCTCGCTGCACACGCGCGTCTGGACACGCTGGACAACGAGTACACCACCCTCTTGAATAAACACTCATGATTCAATGCATTGTCTCATTTATTACCCGACTAAATCAGTAGGAATATTTTAATGTACGTGGATTTGTCGATTAACATATAACATATATATACAGGGATATACAGGGGATATCAAAATTTCTGTACCGATTTTAACGAGTTCGTTATCATTCGATTCGTATTCTTTGCCTTAGTGTCATAATATACAGGAACTCATTTTTTTTTCTACTAAAAATAGTGTTCTTACATAGTTAAAAAAATCAGTTATAGAACAAACATTCGAAAACCTATATCAAAATTACGGTTTAAATAACATCTCACAAACAGCATCCTAAATTATGATAAACTATCATTGAAATCGATGGACTTGTGAAGGTAGCGTCTGTTTACTTAACATATGTAACAATATCCTGTGCAAGTTCCACATCAATGAATATATTATATATTATATTATAACTGTGATTGTATCTCACAGCTGACTAACACATTAGATCACAGCGCGATGCGTAATGTTAATGTTATTGCTTGTCAGTGTTGCCACACTAACGTCCAAATCTCCACATTTAACTCACGTACAGTCAGATATTAAACTGATTATTCGTCTGTTGCAGTTTTCAGTTGATATTATTTATTACAAATATAGTTTAGAACAATCTTGAGTTAACTACGTAATATAAAATAAAAAAAACAAACATTTTTGGCGTTGCAAAAACTACAAATTCAAAAAATAAAATTTATAAATAATATTATAATTTCTACGTTACAGGATTTGAAATAAAAAACTTAAACTTAAAAAAATAAATGAATTATACGCAAAACCAACAGTTGGTAAATTTCCTAATATGGCAACACTTAAAGAACCTAAGATAAACTTAAGCGACCTTTGGTAATCGAGCACAATCGCGTGGAGCAGAGTGACAAGCGCACAATCCTTTCGCAATGAACACCGTTATTTTATTGACCATCTTGGCCACCTCGCTTTGGTGTGTGGGTGGTGACCACTTGGTGGTGGGCAACACTGCCAATAGAGTTGTCCTCGCAGAACACAAGAGAGTCGAATACAACGCGATACCTTTCATCAAAAGGGTTAAATATTTCTTCTACTCTTCGCCGGATAACAAAGTTATTCAGGTATGTACAAAAATGTAAAATTTAATTATCCAAATGAAATAACATTTAGCCATCGTCATAATAAATCCTTGTATGTCCCCACCGAGGGGATAGACGAAGGCGTATTTATGCCGTTTTTTAGAGAAGGCCTAAGAAAGAGGATTACTATAGATGCAGTCATTTGTACAGATTTCAATTAAAACAATGGGAAATATTTTTAAAAACGTATTTATTACATTTTAAATATAATACAAATTTGAATATAATCGTAACCTCCGGGAAATAACCGAAGTGGATTGCACAACTGTATATTTATAGTTGTTGATACAGGAATTTTATTTTTATTTGAATCCAAGACAAACAACAATTTCACTGTAGCAGCACACCTCTTGGCGCTAACTCCGTCCCTTGCTACCGTTATCTACAAAATATTTTTTCACCATACTAGGGTTAAGTGATCGAAGTGGCCAATGTTCAGATCTTTGTTACTTACATTCTGTACGCCACGAAAAAAAAAACCTGGCCAGTTTTGCTGGAAATAGAATATAGAAGCATGTAATATTTTAAAACAAATTATCGCAAAAATCTTCATATATTTATTTAAAATTTTAAATTCATTTAAAAATATATTAAGAAAATATGATTCATGAACCAAATTACGTTTATTGTATTTCCCTTGCGTTTATTCGTACAAATGACGTGACCGAATTATCTTACAATTATTATTAAGTAGGCGAAGGAAATTATAAAGTACTTCTAAGTAAATGATATCGGAACTTCTCAGAATAACTTATTATCAGTTTAAATAATAAGCAGCGATTCGTGTTGAAATCTTTGAGAGAAAAATAATAATGCTCTTTTTAATTGCTTCTGATGAAAAAATCATCGATTTTCATTTTTAAGTAAAGTGCCAAGTATTTAAGAACATGTATAGTTGAATATAATTAATTAACTAACAAATAACCAAATATTAAAACTTATTTTGTGATGTTAAGTTAGGGACAATGTCCCACCGTAATTAGCAACGACCTAGTCACCCTTAAGGTAGGAGCAAGACCTTGGTAAATACACTTTTGGCAATAACAAAGTCCTGTCAGTTAAAGACGTAGACATTTTTAATATCATTGTTTAGGAAGTTCTTAACTATGATAAATGTTTTGAATTAGTCGTATAATATTTCAATTATTCATTGAACATTGAAGTGCTTAGATATCTAACTATAAGATTCAAATTGATATAAACAATGAATTGTTTATATCAAAACTATATTCAGATTTGATTGTTGAATATTCTATAGTTTAACTTATGTTATTGTAATTGATTAATAGTAGAGGATGTGCGCCGGTGTGGGTCATTCACACGAGCGTCACTGCTCGCAGGCCTCGCAGGCTTGCCGGGAATCTGCGTCATATATACATAGTCTCATACATACATGCATTGTGCAAATGTACTTACTGTTTTATATAGAATTAGGACCCAAAATAATAAATGACCACATGAAATAAAAAAAAACTTTATGAAATATATTTTCGCTCAAATCGAGAATCTTTTACACAATTAAAAAAATGAAAACTAGGCATTTTATATAATGCCGTTGTTCTCAATTTAGCGATAACATGTACGTTATATGTGCAGGGCATCCAGGCGCTGGACACACTGCACAGCAAGGCCTCCATCAATATAACAGCAGGCGGCGTGGGGCACAGCTTCGTCAACATGCGTATGAAGAGTGAGCGCGGGAAGGCGCTTGGATATGACATCGGAATTTATGTCAACCCGCAGTACCAATGATAATATAAAACGTAGATGTACTTTAAGATTATATTATATTTAAGTAAATAAGTGTTCTTATTACACCCTTTTTTGATACTTATTTGAGAAGAAAAATAGCAATTGGAAGCGTCACGGTAGCATAACGCTCAAAGGTACAGATATTCAATCACGTGGTCGGGGGTTCGTATCCCTGCGTTCGACTATTGTTTCAAACCATGTCCTAGCACAAGTCAAGGACTTAGTTAAAATAGTACAGTAAACAAAAATCTACTAAAGGTAAAATAGCCTTAGTAAGAATAGCTTAGTGGATAAAATATGTCACAAGCACGCCACATTGACGGCGTCGCTCTGCAACATCACCAAATACTATATAACAGAGCTGATGAGATGCGGCGATGACGGCACGGGTCTACTAGTGTGGCATTATCCTAAGCGCCACGTAGCGCTACATAGAAGTTAAACATGTAAATACTTTTTTATATAAGAATCGATCAACTTGACATAAAGAAATAATTCAAACTGACGCTGTCACGGAACAAAACAATTGCAAAACTATTGACAATCTGCAATTTATATAAAAGAGTTGTAAAAGTATTGGTATGGGTTTATTTTGTTAAGTTTAGCTTTATTTTATGGTATCATGCTCGGTTTGGATTACTTAGTACATAGCAAATGTTATTTTTCAATTTTTTATGGTGAGTAACAAGTTCAATTTTTAATCCGTAACTATTGTGTCAGATGTAGTACTGGGTTATAATTGTAAGACAAACCTTATAATCATTTGAGATAAACAAGATATGTGCATATTTACTTTAAACTCTTAAAAATATAACATTGAAATGACGTATGAATGTTCAAAGTAAACGTACTATAATACAGATATACTACTTCTGATGTTTCACTATATTCTCTTAATAGACAGGGGAGGGGATCTTAGTATGCTTACTTAAAATACATGGTAATATTTGAGTATAGCGTATGAACTTTGCTGCAGAAATATTTGTTGTACTGTTGTGTGTTTTTGTGTCTTGACAATTTAAGCAATCAAATAACTATACAGCAAGCACTTTCTCATTTATATTAAGTATTTATAATTGTATATATTTAATAATTGCGTTGTTTCCAGCTTGTTTTACCTGATGGTGCTTATTGACAGCCACACAATATCTAAAAGTATCGCAAAAGACGATGAAATTATAAATGTAGTCGACAGTATACATGATTTAGAAAATGACAAAGAACATGATGTTAAACAAAATAGATTTCACATCAGGAACGGATACCAGGAGGAGCCCCTCAACTTCCACAAGTCGTGGACACCCAAATATACCAAGTTAGATACGTCCCTGTTGGCTTCCGATACTGTTAATGTAACTAAGTACGTGCAAGTAACGGGTAAGAGCAATCAAGCTATAGTAACTAAATCGCATAGAAAAGGTTTTTTCGAAAGACTATTGGATAGACTAAAAGGAAAAAAAAAGAAACAATTCATTTCCAATGACATGATGGCACGAATCCGGATACAAAGCACTGCGCCGCGAGCCCAGAAGCACCCCCTGCTGCTGGCTGAGAAAAGAGATAACATTACTAAAGACATTGACAAATCTTATATGCTGCTCAAACAACGAAGCAAAAGAAAGACGCGACGCTGCAGATTATTCAAACGACAAGATGATTCTGTAAGGAAAACGGCGCGAAAAGTTATAAACTATGACAGCTCTAATAAAAGTTGCACCAGTACTGATATAGCACCTGTTGTTACTGATAAATTAAAAAAAGATAAAAGACGTTGGTTAAACGATAACTACACATGGAGAAATAACTTTCCGTTCACGACGATGAGGCCGAGCCAACAGACGTTCACACACGGCGAGGATTTGTCTTTAACAGAGTTAACAACTAAAATAGAACATTTAAAAGAAATATATAACATGAAAACGGATCCCTACACAAATTTAATGTCTGTTATGTTGAATCCCAACGGGGCGTACAATTTTAATAAATATACAACACCGCTAGCCGAGGAGATGGACAACAAATACATGGTTGAAACATCCGAAATCGAAGCTATATTGAATAATATTAAAATGAACGCAATCGAGACAATTACGAAAGGATTCGTCACCGAGCTCGGCATCATTCCGTTCTCTTATCGAAGTACTAAATCTGCGAAATTTAAAAATAATATGAAACGCAACTTAAATACGAGTAGCAACATATCGAACTATGTTAATGTGGACGAACTGAAGAAAACGTTAACAAAGGTAAAAAGTCAATTATGTAAAGAAATTAAAGTTAGTGAGGGTGTTATAAGAAATGAAACTAAGTATTGGTATAACAAACTAAGAGGCTGCAGCGCGCACAATGCCGCTCCCGCTAATAAAACTAGTAACAGAAATATTTTTATTGATTACGATATGTTTAGAAACTCTCCAATGCGTTATAAAAAGTTCTCAGCGATAAACAATACCGGAAGCCCTCGTGACGTAAACGACACCTCTACGCAACCTCCCGATGACGATGATTATGACCTGATCACTAAGTCTGAATTGCTATTAAAAGATTTATACCAAGAACACCCCATGTTATTTTCCACATCTAAAAGCGGTGGTCAATACTCCGAGCACAACACTAAGTCCAGTAGAAATGAAATAGTTTTAACTAACTTGCAGAGAAAGACGTCGGAGGATGCGGCGGGCTATGGCGCGGCGGTCGACACCAGCCGGCAAGAGGAGTACGAAAACGAAGTAGACAACGATAAGCCCCTTGAAAATATGGAAATCAATACTCAACCGGCTAATCCTTTGACGACCGAGTTTAAAGATTTGGCAGAAAAATTATACTACAACGATTACGTGAATGGCTACAAACACTACCTGAAGTTTCAACAGGAACAAGGCGTACAAAATTACTCTAATTTAGTGCGGTACCAGGCGCACAGACATCATAGCGTCGACGACATCGGCAAGTTCATTCTGAACAAGCTGCCGACGGTACCAAAGCGCGACAAGAGGGCGTTCAACGACGCCGCAGAGACAACAGAGGATCAAGACATATCGACGAAGAGCGAGGAATCTTGGTTCAAGAAGCATTTTTATGTATTTATCGATTCCGGTCAGCCGAAAAAGTATCATTCTTCGCAGACTGTATCGCTAAGGCCTTTAGTTACAACCAAAAACAAGTTCGAATCGTCTCGATCCAGCTCCAATGTTATGAGCGACAACGATAACCTGATAGCCACCACCGATCAGCAGAGGCAGAGCGAGGACGCGGACTTGGACCAGCTGGCGAACGTCTTAAAAATGTACAAAACTCAAACAACATCAGCAATGGAGAAAGTTTTAAAGCACGGTAAGAATAATTTGGACTAACTTATAGAGTAACTTATTTTTTATACGTTAAATAGTTTTGATTTGTTACGATACAATGTGAAGATTAAAACGACTAAAATTAGCTAAATTTATTAGGAATATAAGCTGTACGTATAGCCCTGAAAGCTATTATTATTTAAAACTATGTCCATCCAAATAGAAACATACTTTTGCTTTGGCCGATATAATTTATTCGTTAATTGCTAAATTTTGACAATAGGTCTGAAGATGGGATGTGAGAGCAATAATATAGCCGAAAATGTTAACACAAAACTTTATGATAGGGATGAAAAATATGATGATAAATATGATAAAAACTCGACTACAGAGGTCAACATAGACTTGCTGCTAGAAAGTGTTTTGCACAGACCAGTCCGGAACTTACATAATGACGTTCCCGATAATGAATACCAACTGTATCGCAGTTATTTACCAGATCTCGAGTTGGACGCCTTGAAAGAGTTGTCGTCGGAGCGGTCGCGGAAATTGAAAAAGAAATCGGGGAAGTACGCATACGTGGACCTGAACGTGGTGACTCAGCCGACAGCCGTCGTCAACCTGAGGAACACCGGACACGACAGCAAGCTAAGAAAGTTTTTTAACCGTCTTCGTTTTCGATTTCACAAAAACAAGAGCAATCAAAAGTCGATACTCAAAAAGCGGGATTCGCCGCGAACCATAAAGAGTTTAAATCCTTTGAAGAAGTTAAAAAAAATGTTTAACGTGCGAATCGACGGGAAACCGGACGTAGTTCTGAGTAAAATGTTCGACTACGATATGCTCGACACCCACGTCAACCAGTTCAAGTCTATGAAGTTCAACAAGCCTCCGCCGAATCTAGACGATATAAAGATGGATATACCGACCGTTATCCCGGAGTCGTCGAAATTAAAGAGTTTTACAAAAGATCTGCCCTTTAAGACCACTGTACCAAAGAAATTCTTCCCCCACGCAGGAACTGCCGAAAAAAACGATGTCCCTTGTAGTAATGAAACTGTGATGACCGGTGAGTTACAGTGTTGTACTTGATTTCAGTTCCATCGTGTCTTCCATCCATTGAAACTTGATACTTTTTGCTTTTCGAACTTCACTGCTTGCTGCAAATTACAAAAGAACCTACAAATAATCTGAAAAGTATCTGAATGCAGACTTTTGAGATCTAAGAGAGAACTTTTGGATAAGATAAAATCTCGCACATATTATTGTAAATAATATTATATATGAGTTTTCGGTTTACTCACTGTTATATCATATCTGTTTAATATTTGCTCAAAATAAGACGTTTGTTTTTAGAACCGTGTCCCATACTGATGACCACCAAAGCAACTCCGCCGCCCACATCTACGATTTACAGAACACTGACCGGCAGCGCAAGAAATAGACCGGACATCAACGATGCTGACTTTATCAACATTAAAGTAACAACCGTCAAGACGTTGAACGATTATACAACGCCGGGTATGTACGACTTCGCCGTGTCACCGTACAAGGCTGTCAGAAACAAAATGAATGATATAAATCTGATCAGAAGATTCACAGCCCTCGTGAGACCTAACAAAATGGCTAAAGAAAATCTGCAACGTGTTTATTTAAGCTCAATAAATTCGGACGATGAAATAATCGATACCAGTAAATTTAAACACAGCGAAATAACACACAGCAGAGTACTTCCCACAACACAATCCCACTTCTTTTCTTATATACAATTAAATGATGATAATCAGCCTTACAATATAGACAACTCGAGCGCCGTCGACGACAACGTGCGTCAGGCGCAGCTCGTCACGATGCCCTTGTATGAGGTGTCGCCCAGGATGAAGAAACATCGCTTAGTAAGCAGCAAGAGGCGAAAATACTCAAACTCGAGGAGAAGGTATCAAACGACGCCCAATTACCTCAATGATTTAGAAATGTGGCACAACGATATTTTAGACTCTGATAAATATACCACTTGGCAAAATATACTAAAGAACATACAACAGCCGTATATGTACAAGCCCCCCGATATGATGGCCCTAAAAAGTGAGCTACACAGGCTGGACAAGCTGCTGGACATCAGGAGACCGGTGGGTGGGGAGAAGTTGAAGAGTAAAATTAAACAGTTTGATCAGGCGACCCAAATTAACAAAACTTGCCCCAAGAAAGCGGAAACGAATGAAGAGTTTTTGATTAAAAAAATGGAAAAGAGTTTTGGTGACGAGAATCATAAAATAAAACGTCGTAACATTCCCAGCGGCGAGATGCAACCGTTGACTCGAAGCGAAGTACGTCTAGAAGTGCCCGGACTACTGAGCACGCAGTACCGCGGTATTCTGCATCCTAGTTTTTTCGTAACGCACAGCGTTCAAATTGAGGATCCTGCTAAAAGCAAGTCTGATCAAGGTAAATGATTACGTAGCTAATGCGATTTTATCCAAATTTGCTAACAGAAGCCGAACGTGCTTCCTAAACGTAAGCCCCCTTACTGCACACGTTGACATATTTACGAATAGTTATAACCGCGTTAGTGGCAATAGCACATAAATTTGTCGTAGAAGTATAAGCGACTCTTCGGTTAATGGAAAATGGGGTCTAGGTTGAAATATTAGATTTTTAATTGGTGTACATGTTTTAGGTAATTCAAATGGGAAAGAAAGCGCCACCGCTTCGGACATTATGTCGTTCGACACCACTTTGTTGGCTTATGATGATAGCGTAAATATATTAAAAGAAGTTAGAGGTAAGTTTGTTTAGTTTCTTTTAAATGTCAAGCTGCTATAGGCACACACTAGACACGTAGAATAGTGCAATTGTTTTAATATTTAACATTTTTGTTTTGCAGACGAAACGACTACAAAGGCTCCACACCATGTCTTATCTCCTGTGAGTTGGTCTACAGTTACAATGTTGTCGCTTTATTTTAAGTTCATATTACCTTTGGGCAAACCTATTAATTTCTGTAAATTGTGTACAGAGAGTTATTAATGTTTCAGGTCAACATCCTAACAAAACTACACAAGGTTCCCGAGCAACACTTCTCTACGCCTCTACCGATGAGGAATGAGGATTTTGAAAATTTCCTTCGAGATAACAACATCGATGTAAAGTCAGTCACCTCTCCTGTTTATTTTCCCTCGCCCGAAGGTTTCAAGACTGATCTGCAAGCGAAAGGTTCCGTTCTATCATTAGATCCCATTATGTACAACCAAACGACAGAAGGCGTTCATGTGCTGGACCCGAAGAATGCGACCCAAGGCACGAATCGAAGTACCGCTGCAACGCCTAAGAAAAAAATGGGTAGGTATAATAATAATGAATTGGCAACAGAAATAGAAAATAAGTATTACCATGGATTCACTGCCGACATTAAAAATAATTCAAATGCTAAAAGAATGAAAAGAAGCATCATAAAAGCACCTTACAGAGGGTTGCCTTCGCTAGACTATCTAGGTGCCGAACTTTTTAACAAATACATTAAACTAAAACCTCCTCTTAAAAATAATAGTAGACAACATTCTCAGTCGACAGAATCTACTGGCAATTTTACAGCTAAAACAGTCGATGAAGATAGCGAATACTTTTTTGATACTTTGGAAGATCAACTCAATTTCGGGAAACTCGATATGACTCATGATATTCTCAACGGTCCTACGATTGAGGATAATGAAGACAGTGGAAATTTACAGAGTCAGCATCTACAAGAACATAACTTAAAGCTTACTCACAAATTTATTGACGTCTTTCCGACTGAAAATAAAATAAAAATCAATATTTCAGAGCTATCTAAAACGTTCTCAGAAGTAATACCGATAAATAAAATGGACGATGGTCGTCCTAGAGCAACAACAGACAAATACAAGCTGTCCTACTCTCCCTTGGTGCATAACAACTTGCTGTATCATTCCAAATCTGATAAAAAACAAGAAGGAATCGGCAAAGAAAAAAATACAGCGGCCGACTCATACAAACAGAGCAAAGGAAATGGTGACTTCATCGATCAGTCAGATTCAAAGCAGAGTAACAAAAATTACTTTGATTATGATTTATATACAAATCCAAAAAAAGTAGATGTAACAACAAAATCATCGAAATATGACTTTATATTGGATGAAATGACTTCTAACAAAATAAAGGATAAAAGAAATGGCAAACATGGTTGGTCTTCTTATATTGAGCTTCCTTCATTTTTTCTATCCATTTTTCTTGTATCGATTATTTATCAACTTTTGCGTTTTTCTTTTTTAATTACAGATATATCATCACAACGATTAAAAGTATTTGGAAACTCTGGTTTTTATTCTAAGAATATACAAGAATTTATAAAAGAAAGTAAGTTTATTGGCACATTTTAATCGGATACTACACAGAGTTTTTCAATGAATTAATCCACATTTCTTGTTCTTGCAGGAGGTGTTGAGCATCGTGGACCAAGGAGACGACGTAAACGCAAGAGACGACAGATGATACCCGACCAAGAAAGGTGACGCTGCTAAAATTTTAAGTCAAAAAATAAGAAAGTTAAATTACAAATGTTATTTTAGTACGTCCATTGCTAAATGTTGACTTTCATAAAGTCCTAAAAACCTTTGATAGGCCGTAATTCTGTATTAATGAGTTGACCGCAGCCAACAGCGAGTCGACATGTTATTATGTTACGTACCTATAGTATAACTATATTTAAGCCATATTTCCTTAGGGATTTATGTTTAAAATTACATCTGCTTCATTAAATGTTTAGGAAAGAAGTTACGTAAACTAGTTAATTTGACATAGTTGACTTCCAGACGTGTTTCATTTATAGCCGCTCTCGGCAGATTTGTCCAAGCCATCCGTAAAGTGAGTGCTTGCACTTCCGACAGAGATGAACAAATAAAAGAATTGGTCAGGGTGGTCGAGGCCGTTGAGAACTTCACGCGGCCCAACGTAATGATTCACATCGACCTACCCACTTACTACCTGCCCGACACAAAGCGCAGCGGCTACACGCCGATACCTAGTCCACCAAAGTCCATTTGGAACGATTTCATACTGAAATATGTGTCGGGAATAGCTCTACTAGAATTGCTCACTAAATTTGGAATACTGAAAACTGAGGAGCCGAGTCTTTCGGATGGCCTGGACGAGAGTGCTAACGCTTGTGGACTTTTTAGTAGAGTTGCCGAACCGCGCTCCGCGATGGATTTGATGTCAGGCGATCGTATCAGGAGAATACCGAGCGCTGATGGAGGTAAAGTGGATATTAATAGATAAATAGCTGTACACAGATCGTATAAAATCAAAATATAACATCAGTTAATGTACCGACACACAAGACGCAGAATGATGAGCATGAACAATGATTCTTTTTCATCCCAGACGGTGACAAAGAAAGTGCAATAATCTATAGAGAAGAGTCTGTATTACATTTAATTCACAAGATCGCTTGTAACACTTATTCTACTTTCAGACCGCAACGAAGTAACAGATTCAAAAACATCGCAAAAAACAACAATGGAGCCGAGGAGGGGTACTATAATATACGATCTAAAACAGTTGAGTCGTCCGCGTGCCATTACTATGAAAACGCGTCGTGGACCCTTTAAAAAAGGTATTAACTACATTTTGGGAATCCAATCAAATTGTTGTCATTATCATTCAATCTTATCCATCGCTTCTCTTATAGGCACGTCAGTATTCGCAATGGAGCAGAATCAGATTGAGGTGTCGATCAATGATTCCGTTCCAATCATCATCCCCTCGACCACTGCCAGGAGATCAATGGTCACCACAACCCCCACAGCCACCACAAGTAAACCTTGTTATCATCCTTTTATCACTAAGTGGAATTCTTTTCTATCACTTCACGCTTTGTGTGTTGCTGGGCGCTGAAACACACTTTCGATTACACTCATTATGTTTTTGACTTTAGCAAAAATCTTTAGCAAGTAATCAAATCTTTTCTATTTATTATCAAACAATATATTTAGTTTATCTTTGCACAGAGAGCACGGTGACTGTTTCTCTGAAGTCGAGCCGCTCTACAACTACGGCCGCACCAAAAATTACAACATTGTGCAAGAGTCCTTATACAACGAAGCGCGGAGATAAACCTGTTTGTATAACTTCTAATCTTCCTATTAGATTTCTTGTATTCTTTGCCCAACTTGGATTTTACTTAACCTAGCTTAGGTTAATCAACGTATAAATTACGTTATCCTATATATTTCAATTATAAATTTAATAAGTTGATCATTATTACGCATGATTCACATTTTCTTTGCATCTTGCATGTATTTATTTTTCTTACCAGACAACCCCATCCACAAATGCGACAACAACAACGGAGAAACCAGTGAAGGTTACTGAATGCACCAGTGGTCATACACAACCTAACGTTGCGAAAGAAAAATTAACGAAAACCACTACACCTGTTACAACGCGCACAAAACTAAATCCTAAACAAACATTTAAAACTAAAACCAGCGATCATCGTGTAAGTATAAAACACAAAGTCAAAACCAAGTAATCTTAACTAATAGACGTTAAAATAATATCCCGCATCACTCTATTTTAGTTCGTCATAATAACAACGAAAATATTCTCAAAAAAGATTGAAAACAAACAGTACAATGATGGTCTGGTAACAAACGCATTACCGCTACCAACGATATCGATGGCTAAGTTGTCAAATGAGAACGTAACCACCGCCGCTGCTGAAGTGGTCAAGACGAAGAAAAGTAGCTGCTCAACGATCAACTCGACCCTGCCTTCGTTAAAGATAACCGTAGCCACCTCGCCGACCGTACCCACATTGACCTCGAGCACCACCACAGAGAGCCCGCCTAAGACCAGCTCTACGCCTTTCACAACAGATGATTTGAAAGAATTAGATGAGGAGAGTTTATATATAACTAGCAATTATTATGTAAGTGCGAAGTTAAAGTAACATTATTTTTCTTCAAGTTTATTTTACTAAATTGAATGATATTTTACATTACATTACATTTTTATTTATGATTTGTTTTTAAATAGGATTACCACACAGCAGACATGGATTACAACGAAGATGAAAATAAATTTGACACAACAACAAAAATAAGAAATAATACAACAAATAAGCATTTGAAACGCGATATAAAATCACAGAATACTTTTACTGCCAAAGACGTTGCAGCCATCGAAGTTATTGTAGATTTAATGCGGAAGAATCGAAACCTAAATGAGAACGAAATAGTTGGGGCGTTCAATGAAATCGCAAATAAATCAACGATTGCGGAACAATCAACAAAAGCAACTCAAGCTTATATGAAATCCAGTGATGGCATCAGTAATTCTATTCAAGTCCACATTGCTATCCCGTGCAACATATCAATAGATAAAAGGAGATCATTAAGTGAACCAGTCCGAATCAGGAAAGTGTTTACAGCCAGATTATCCACACCTGTCGACATTGAGTACCAAATACACTCAGTGGAGGATGTAGACCCAGTGCCTACTGAAGCTGCATTTGTTATTCCTGCAAAAAATATAACATGCAATACAAACACTTCAGACGTACCAAATGCGAATAACTTAAAAAATTGCACGTTCACTGTTATAAATGAAATAACACAGAGAGCAGAAAAACTATCTCCCGGATTGTATGTGCTTGTAGAAAATCAATCAATTCCAGATGGTCAATTTATTTTAAAACCCGTCGATAGTAAACTTTTGTCTGATTACAAAATTAAAGATAACGTAATGGTGACGCCGAAAGCAATAACCTCAGCTAACCCAAATAATTTGAGTAAGGTGACGTTGAGTAAAGATTTTATAGCAGTTATCAACAAACATCTGATAGAACTGTATCAATACTTAATGACCACAAAAGAACATAAAAGAAAACTAAGAAGAGTCGATGATGTGAAACTGAAGCGAAGCGCGACAATTAATCGCCTTAGACACAGAAGGGAAATAAATTGGGATACTATAAAAAAATACATAGGTCATGATAAAGTTTGTCACTGTCATTGCAAACCAAATCGTACGATGTGTCGCGCGTGCGCAGCAAGCGATGCCGTTATTTCCGAATTAATATTTGAATTAGATAACTTGGCACAATATATGAATGATCATTGTACTGAAATTCAAACTTACTTTTGGGTAAATCCCAGCGGTGGCAGAAAGCTAAGAGATGCTGTGCATAGAATAGACAAAACTTTATATGACTATTTCAAAAGAGTGTCTGGAAAATGTAAAGGTCGCCCTTGCAAAGTGTTCATGTACATGGATAAACGTGACTATGTAAATCCCGATAACAAAAGTAATTACATTGGTGAGCCTTTGATACATGATGTAGAAAAATTAGCAGACCATTTAGAAAAGGCTTTAAGATTTAACATAGGCGATGAGAATCTTTTAGACAGCGGCACTAAATGTCTTGATGTTATTACAAAATGCATGCATTTAAAATCATTCAATAAAAGAGCTAACGAAGGTGAAACTAGACGTATTAAAAATGTGTACTCGTTAGATAATGTTAATGTAAACATTATTTGTAAATCTGACAAATTAGAGAGTACGCAGAAAAATCTATTTGACTCAACAATAGCGAGTCCGCCATATTTAGCTGCATCGTCTGGCATGTTTTATTACGATGACACGGGAGATTATATTAAAGATGAAGTTAAGAAAAAGGGAATTAAATCTCTTCTAATGCTTAGAGGTTATCCGAAGAAAAAGAGGAAGGATAAAAGTCATTGGTTTCCATATAATGTTACACCTTCCATTGGAAATATAGCTAAGAAAAATGTAAAAAAAAGACATGTGTCAAACAATTACCAAATCGAATCACCACTGAACGAAGAGGGAATCGAATCAAAGTGGTACAATTTTTTGAAAGCTAAAAAATATCGAGATCAATTAATAGACGAAACTACTAACGTAGATGACAATTTCAAATATATAGCGAATGATAATAACACGGAAAATGCTACCACAACAACTGTTGAAAATTCTAACAAATACGACAGCTTCGATCCAGACGACGCCACCGTACAAAGCATCGATCAATATTACAGCATCGCCGCTTATACTCTTTATAAAAAAGTACTATCAGATGTGACACACCCAAAAAAAAGAATGAAAATGAATTCGATACAACCCCTCAAATCTAAAATAAAGGTCTCGCCATCTCATCCCGGAATAAACGATTTTACACCGTACAACGCAATAAAACCTTCCAGTGCCAAAGTTAGGACAATTCAAAATAAGAAAACTACTCGTATGCAAAACGCTGCTACGACAAAATACCACAACAAAAACCTCCACGCAAATAGTAGAAATATTACAAAAGACGCTAATTTAATTTCAGTTACAAATGCTGTGAATAATTACGAGGAAAATTTACGTAAAAATTTACAGAAGTATAGCTTTAGCAGGCTCAAAGAATCTACAATTAATTACTTAGACGCATCAAACAGTACCCGCAATCTTGTAAGTACCGCGACTACTCCGATCCCGGGCCACAAACAGACCACTGCCACAAATACCATTACTATAAGAAGTTCTTTTACTAAGAAAAGACCAGCAATGAAGTCACATAAACTTAACAATAAAGATGACGTCACAATACGCGGTCCAGCCAGCAGCACTAACATACCTTCGACCCCTAAACGAAATTTAGTTAAAGTGCCTCTGAAAAACACTCTGTCAAAGGACGAATTGTTGTTCGGCGGAACTACTGTGAATGCCGTCACTAAAGATAATAAAGAACTACTTTTGTCTATTCTTGATTTCGAGACAAATAAACTTAACGAAGAGTGGCAAAGAATTGCTTTGAGAAAAACAGCTGAGGACTACGTGGATGACGATGCACAATCCTTTATTAAGCTTCATTCGGAGGTTTTCATGTGAGTATTACACTTAGTGAAAAAATACAATATTTTATGAAATCACAAATGTTAACAATATCCCATAACCAGTTAAAAATTGAATTTAAAAGACTATTTTCAGTAAACCTGTAGTTTAAGCTGTAGATTCTAGTTGAAATGTAGTAACTTATTCGCGAAATATTTTTTATAAACGTTATCTAATCATGTAATAGAAATCGAATTAAACTATCAATTCATTTTTATTACTGTTTATCAGGTCTAATGAGAAACCCCAACAGCATAAAGAACCAGATCGCAAATGTGATCACAAAGAGGTTGATCGTAAAGAAGGTAAGTCGGTGACCGCTTTGAACATGGGCCACGGTGTTGTGCCTGACAAGAGTCCATATAACAAGCACAACCACGTGGAGCACAAGCCACAACTGGTGACGAAGACAACGCCGGCGGTCAAGCACCACAAGCCGCCGGCGAGTCCAGCGACCGACACCTACTATGACATACGAAAGGACCTGCCCGCCATAGAACTGCAGCCGCCGCCCGACGCATACCATACAAAACCAAGTCACGGCTTGTTGGACAAGTTCCTCGATAAATTCAAATTTAAAATGCTTCCCGGGAGCAAAAAGGAAAAGGTGAGTTCGATATTCTTAATTAAAATGTAAATTTTATTTCCCATTTCTTTATTTGATATATTTTGTAATAGTTTATATTTATACAAATTTTCAACAAAATATGTAAATAAACTAATACTGTTTAAAATATTTTCTAAGGTAGCCAAAACTCACCAAAACGGACCGAAAGGGCGGGCTTTAAAGAGAAAGTTGGATCACGGGAAGCGGGGACAAAGCAAAGCGACTGTTGAAAATAACTCGGAGGCAGAGAATAACACCAATCCCGGTACAGTTAACAATTTTTAATAAGAAGATTACAAATATTTAGTAACTTGTGTATTATATTTGAATACTTTACGCTATTTTATGTGAATAAATACAAAATGAAGCGTTTTTACTGTTTACTGTATCAAATTAAAACAAAGAGAGAGTAATGATATTTATTCTGAAATAGCAACAGAGACGACATGCCCACCAGAGTCTCCGTGTGACAACATCGAAGACAAGAAAGTACCCCAGGCCCCGGTCAATAACACGGCTACCAGTGCAGCGGCTAATGCCAAGAATGCAAACAAACAACCACAACATGGACCTAAAATGGTAACAAACCATACTCCCCCTTCCCACTAATCAGGATAATTACTTTAATTACTTTTGTTGATCTGTCTGTTTGTTTCAGAACGAAAATCTTAAGAAAACTAAAAGCCATGGTGAAGCAGGTACACAAATTGTCCTAAATATAGGTAGTTTAGTTCCTTAAAATTAAAAAAATTTCTACATTAATTTAAGGTGTATATTTCAGTAAGCAAGTAGCAACAATTGTACAATAGGTGAATAATATAAGTTAAAATTATTAAATTGGTTCTTTTATTACATAAATGTGGAAAGTTTTAAAAATTAATACCAATCCTTTTCTCAAGAGGTCCATGAGCCGAGCTGCGTGCGGGGGCCTCTCTGCGACATCGACGCGACTATCATTCATGTCATCGACATGTACAAGAAGCTGCCGGCGGCCGCTTTCAGATCTTTCGTCAAGAATATTACTTGTTATGCATACAAGGAGCTACCGCAGATCTTCCAAATACGAGACACCACAAAGACGAAGAAGTCCAGACACGGGAACGAGCAGGGCAGCAAGATCTGGCGTTGGAACTGGGTGCGCGGCAAGAGGTCGACAGAAAACGACGACAACTTTGCAGACATCTCTAATAGAAATGATGTCGATTATGACTACATCGATGATGATAATAATAACATTGTTGAAAGCAAATACCCATCAGAGAAGATACAGTACGTCCTAGGAAATGATAAGGAGGACTATGACAAACTGTATCTGGGCACAGACGGAGTATACAGAGGGAGAGAGAACGAGAGAAGAAAGAGGAAAACGATAGACATGACGAGTGTAGTGAACGGCTTGACGAACTTACCTCCATTGCGAGAGTTAGTGGTGAGTATTGATACATTTCATACTCAACAAATGATTAGCTATACACCATTTTAAAGGACATTACGTAACCATAATTTTAACTTGTAACAGGATGAGATATTCGTGATCCGGGGCAAATCTATATCGATTTTCTGCAACGTGTCGGGCACGCCCGTGTACTCGGTGTCAAACTTGACGAATATGTTCCGCTACACGTGGACCGCGGAGAGGAAGTCCATGCTCAACGCGCCCAACCTCAAGGTGGTCGGACCATCGCTGGTGCTCAGCGCCATCGAGCCCAGGAATTTCGGGACGTACACCTGCTCGCAGGTAAGAAATACACAGATATAAGTCACTAGATATAGAATAGAACTAGAACTAAAACCAGTTCAATAGTCATGTTTACAACGTCGCTCTCATGTTTTTCAAGAGTGCGTCAGGGCTCTGTCAAAAGGAATCGCGGCGTGACCAGTTGATGATATTGTAATATTTCAGGATAAGATCGTGGCGCGCAGTGTGAGAGTGAATGTCATAGAGATACCTGATTTCAACATTGTGTTTACACCGCTTTACAAGTGCCTCGGCGAGTGTACTTATGAGGTACCATAATATCTATTGTTGTCCCCGTTTTTGCTAATTATAAGGCAAAAGTTCCCTCCTCTCCAAGTCATTATTATGTCAGTTACTCATAATCATTCGAGATTTTTTTATACATTTTATGAATGTTGTTTCAAGGACCTTGAGAATATACAGAACTTGGGCGTGGCGATACAGAAGTCTTCGAACTGTTGTGGCATCGTGTCAAGCTCCGCCCGCGTCGATCATCCTATATCACTATCCGATCAGGTAAGTCTGGATAATATCTAACTTTAATAAATGGAATGATGGTTCCACATGAAACCTTTAGCACTGCTCCTTCTTGCATCGACTGATTATTACAAAGTTAATTAAATTCAAATCAGCTACATCGTTAATTGCTAGTTTTATTGTTTTCAGAACAGGAAACTAAAAGTATTCTTAGTTCTTCCGTACTGTACTATAACATTTGTAATTGTGTTGTGTGATGTCTATGTTGCAGCAAAACGAGGACCTACTTAAGCCAACTGTGGTGATAACGGCAGTGGCGCCGGCGGGTATCGAGTGCGGGCCAGAATGCCGGCGCGACCTCACGTGCTCCATCGCGCTGCTGTGGGCCAGCAATGCGCCAGCACTTACCACCGTCAAAGGTACATGTGATCGACATAACATTTCTTTTTCAACTCATGTTCCGCAGTTGTGAATGGAACTTATAGAGATTATGTATTTTTTACAGTTGTAATAATTTACGACAAGTTTAACAACACACTGACCCCAGTGGATAACAACCTGCCCAAGATGTCGATATCGAAGAAACTGAAAACTAAAGGTGAGTTAACATTATTTTATTGTCTTCGTCTTTTAATAGCAAATAGTTGGCAAAAACTTCTCTTCAAACGTCTCTCTGTGACTCTTGCAGACTCGAACGGTCACCGGGAGTACCAGGTGCTGTCGCGGTCCATGTCCCCCGGCGACGTGGACGTGGTGGTGGCATGCCCCGCCGGGTACTACCTGCTCACTGACCAGAAGATTTGTGGTAACACAACCCACAATATTAATTAATTTGATAAAAAAAATATTGAAAAACAAAAGTAATTAAGAAAATTAGTAAAAAAAGAGTTAGAGCTTGCGCAACGAAACTTATCCGATAGGAAGGAAAAAGTTTAATTTCTTCACTGAATGTAAATATCTGCTGTGTTGCAGCGGTGTGCCCAGCCAACACGTGCGCGGCGGCGGGCGAGAACACGTGCTCGCCGTGCCCGCGCGGCACGCACGCGGAGCCCGGCGCCGCCGCCTGCCGCCTCGGCCTCAGTCGCCTGCACAGGTACGATGTACGTACCTTACATATTCTCCTTTAGCGTTACGCATGTTGCCTTCCCTCTATCGATATCAGCCAGCTCAATCATAATACTTGCGACATCAATATATTTTATTGGTATGCGTCAGTAGTTCGAGGTCAATTATAGAACAATTGTTATGGTTACTTGTTACCTACATGAATCATTGTGTTTTTGCAGAACCCAGTATTTCAGTCACAGGGGTGGCAGTGGTGGCAGCGAGGTGCGGGGTGGCGCGCCTGCCCGTGGCGCTGGTGGCAGTGGGGTGTGGCTGCATGTGGCCTGCTGTGCGCTGGCTGCGCTTGCGCTGCGGCGGGGGGTCTGAGTGCGCGCCGCCAAGCCCCCTGCGTCCCACCCACCGCCGCGCCCGCGCCCGCCGCGCCCCCCGCGCCCGGTGCGGTCCCGCGACATCACCACTATTGTACTTACGTTGCTTTAAACTCTCAACGCTCAGAGGACGGCCTATCGGAAAACCACTGCGGGCGAAAATGCTCGCTTACCAGTTATTTAAGTATCTAAAACCCAAAACTTTTAAGTGACATTTCCAACTTAAGTTCATATTTCTTTAGCAAGCTACTGTAGATTTTCTTCCTTTAATCGCATAAGACGCAAATACAGAATTAGACAAATTCTATGCTTATAAAAACAGTAAAAGGAGGATGAAAGAGGCCTAGATTTAGCGCTCCACGTCTTTAAAGTTCAGTCAGTGAATGTGTTATGTATGACAAAGCATTATGCCTGCAGCCGAGCGATGTTGCGGCGGCCTGCGCCGGCTGCGGCGGCCGCTGTCCCCGTCGCGCGTCATACTAGAACGACTCTACAAGCGATCCCAATCTTCGTCCAGAGCGACTGGTGAGTCACAAGCGCTTACATCTAGTACCTTATATATTCTTTATATGGAATTATATCGAATAGGCTCATGAAATCAATCAATCAATGATCAAAGGTTGTCTATGGAAAAAAATGTCTACATGTCATTATGGTTTGTCCTTTGTATTTGTTCACAAGCTACTATTATAAATTTTCTTCCAGATTCTCAAGACACAAAGTTTGTGATAACAGAAAGTATGATGTCCGAGGTAGTTCCACCTCCCCTGCCACCTATAGATTTCGAGTGATACAATTCCAGGGATCATCTCTTACTTGTCGCTATTTTAAAATGATCATTTATTGTACAGTGACAAACAGTTTCTCTCACATAAATTTCTAGGAAATAATAATTGTGATCGAATAAAAATTAAAGTTGACAGATAATACTCAACCAATGTATTCAATATACGATATTCACTCAATATTGTTTATAATTCAAGTAGGAAAATGAAAGACAAAGTCTTTCTAGAATTGTGGTCACCCTACAGATGCTGAAAACAATAGAAATAGTTTTTTTTTTTAAATTTGAACGAACACTAGTCCGGATTATTTGTTGATACATACGGATCGTGCAACGTGTTTTTCTTTTTCTAAAGAGTTTATCGATGTTATATAATGTTGTCTTTCTAAGCGTATTTTGTGGTTACTTTTAGATATCGTGTATTTAAGGAGGCATTTAGATAGGTACCTATTTGCTAAGAGTTATTATTTGTGTACTAACACTGTTACTTATGTTTGGCTTAAGTTTAAATAAAGTACAGTGATGCGGTTACTCTGTTTCATTTTACTATTTTACAATCTTTTGCTTAATTTAAAAAAAAAACTTAATAGTCTGTGTTCTTCTAGACTATGTCCTACATCTATGCCAAATGATATCAAGATCCGTTGAACTGTTTCGGAGATACCTTCCAATAAAGAGCCATCCATACATTTATCCAAATGCATTTATAATATTGGTAAAAGTCTTCTTGTGTGTTATCAAAGAAAAGAAGAAACGGTATAAATGAAAAGGACATTTGTTATTACAGTTTTATTATAAACCTCCCCGTGGAATACATCTCATACAAACTTATTCTAAAAATCTTTGTTATCTGCGGATATCATTTAACTACAATTGCCCACTTTTTTAATTAAATAATTGTTGTATAATGTTACTATGACAACGAGGACTAACAAAATTAGTTGTATTTACAACTAATTTGATATTAGTTTTAGTTTTAGTTTTAGTTTTATTTACAACTAATTTTGTTCAACATTATTTTCAGAAGATATTTTTAAGAAAGTTGATGTTATCTATCTGATGAGTGCTAAGTTATAAATATCACGCATAATACATGTTAATTGATAAATAAAAATATTTTAAGAACCTTGTAAATCGGCAGCTCAACAGGTAAAATACATCGGAGGGGGCAGCTGTAACAAAGCTACAAAGCTTTTACAAAATAGTACCATACTTTTAGAATTTACGACAAAAGCCGTATTTAAATGGATAACATTAAATATTTGTTTCACTAATTGTGCATAAAAATGCTTGGATAACATTAAATTAATATTTCTTTATAAAATTTTATAAAATTGCATATATATTTCGCTCCCACGTTTACTTTGCCAAGTGCAAGCTTATAAAAGCAAATGGCGTATACAGAAAGAAACATTCACATGTTGAGAAAGTCTTTTCACAATATCCTACAACCACAGTGCAAGGCCACAAGTCAGGGCCGCTCGCTGGCACATACCAATAGTGATTTATCACAAACATTTTGAGATATAATCTCCAATTTGCCGACCATCAAACACCTCTGATCAACAAAAGCAGCCGCATCGGAGCAGGCTACATAGTAAATTGTAATTTAGACTGCGTACCAACAAAACATGGTCATCAGGATCCTGAGGAGCGCTCGCGAGGAGCGGACCAGCGGTCACTGGGCGTCGTCCTCCGCGGCTCCCTCGGCCGGCGGCTCCGGCACCTCCTCCTCGCGCGCTCTCAGGGGCTCCAGCTCGATGACGGGATCCGCGGTCGCCTCCGCCAGGTTTGTGACGGACTTGGACTTGAAGCACTGGAAGTCGACGTGGCGGGACTTGGCCTCCTCCTTCTCCCAGGACATGTGTATGAAGGGGCGCTGCACGTAGTTGTAGATGACCTCAGCGCGGCCGCCGGGCCTCTTCCGCACCTTCTCCTTGTATGTGGGGTACCCCTCCACGCCCAGCCGGATCTTCTTCAGCCCGCGCTCTTTCATCACCTGCTTCGCCACATCTCTGCAATTTACAACATTACAATCACTTCCACTGCCCAAATAATAACAAACAACAAAACCACAGCCACTGGATTTTTTTTTACTACGTAACTTAAAAACGGCTCAACAGATATCAGTGAAATTTGGCACAGATATAGAATATGGTTTAGAATAACACATAGGCTACTTACTAAGTTTTATTTATATTTCAAGCGAACCGAGTCGAGGGCAAAAGCTAGTATAATTATAACTGACCTGTTCTCAATATATTTGAAGAAACGGTATAGAGGTGTGGAGAGCACAGTCTGACTGTACTCGTCGCCCATCTGCGGCGGGTATTGCTCGTCCCAGTCGACGGCGTCGTCATCCAGCAACACCACCACGTGGCACTCGCGGTCACCGCGCTGCGCAGACTCCACCATCAGCGGCAGGATCAGTCGCTCCAGGAACGACTCGAACTGACGACGCGCGCCTTCATTTGATAGCTCGTGCAACAGCCCGCGGAGATTCTGACGATATTCAATTATATCGTAAGGAGAAACGCTCATTAGACACATCAGAGGACGCCTGTTGGTGTGTTAACAATATTAACGTGCGATATTTCTTTAATAAACTAAATGCGAGTTTGCGGTTTTTTGATTATCACCGTTCGTGTTATATTTGTAAAGTTAACTGAACAGTTTATCTCAACATAAAGCATATTTTATAATATACAAATACAACCACTTATATAATAATGTTATTAAAACTAACATCTCGTTTTGTATAAACAAAAAAGATATAAGTCTAATAAAAGAACATTTAGATATAATTAGAGAACATGAACTGATAACATTTCATTATGTTTACACTGATTACTGAACAACATATACAGGACAATATAATTAACCTAACTCATAATAACTAATCTAATTGCAAAATTAAATATTAAGTTAAACAAAAAGTTTCATTAAGAACGAAAAGTTATGACTTTTACATTTCGAATATAGAAAATCTCACAAACACAGAAAAAGCTATTCAGTTGAACCTTGAATACACAAAAGTTCAAGGAAGCAAGACACTTTTCTAGCTTAAGAGGTTTCTTCCGTACTCTAGTTCCTCACTTATGGATGCTGTCAATAGGGACCGCAAAAAACTCTACTTATCGAGGTGCAACTGAGTATAATTTTGGTGGTTTTAACATAATATATTTTCACTTTAATTACAACGCATTTCCAATTCATACTATTATATGTTTAATTATGAATATGATGTAATAATAACACAAAGATAACCAAAGAAAATATTTAATTAAACAGAAAATAATCTGCAAATTTGTTTTACTTGTTACCTTCAAGATGCCGTAATGTGTATTTATAGACTGATATGTAGATATCTTTGTTACGTCAATTCATTTATAATAATTACATAATGGTAGTAGTAAAGATGAACTGTACATTTTAATTGCTGATATACAGTTGGACCTGGAAAAACGAGAGTCCAAGGGACTGCTAAATTTTTCTTGCTTACACGAGTTTCTTGTTTATGGAGTTTTTTCGTCAAGACATTGACTATCCCTTAATGGGGTTTTTCACTTATTCATACTGAACTATATTTAATAGCTTTTGAAACCAACTTAAAAGTAACCACTACTTTAAAACTACAAGCATAAATATATGTCTTATATTTTGCACTAAATTAAAACACTTTTTAAGCACACATTTTTTGGAAAGCAATATTCTTACCTGGCATCTAACAGTGTTGGCATCAAAGGGGACCAGCAGTTAGTCACAGGCCTCTCTTAATTCCTGCACGGAGACAGTGGGAGGGCAGCGGATTGTCCCACCACGGTAGTACTCCAGGATAGCTCTGAATACCGTCGCTGATATGCCTTCTGCCACTTCATATTCCCCTCGCTCATTTGGATGAGTAAATTCAATACCTTTACGAAAAT